CTCCACTTTAGAAGTAAGCAAAGGACAAAAAATTAGTTCCAATGCAAGTTTTAAGTGGTGGGAACAGCAAATAATCCAGAGTACCCACTGGGGCCCGCCCAGGGTCCTCAGGCTGGAGCCCCTGGACCAGACCCTCCTCCAACAACCAGGCACACCACCAGTGCCACGGGGCCTGCCTGAAGTCCTGAGGCTTGGAGCGGGAACCAGACCTCCTCCCACAACCAGGCACACCGCCAGCACAATGGGGTTCGCATGGGTCCTGAGGCATAGAACCAGGGACCAGACCCCCTCCCACAACCAGGCATACCACCAACACCACAGGGCCTGCCCATTGTCCTGAGGCATGGAACCAGGGACTAGACCCCATCCCACAACCAGGCACATCGCCAATGCCATGGGGCCCACCCAGGGTCCTAAGGGATGGATCCAGGAGCCACCAGCAACTAGGTAAGGAGCATGCCAAAAACATCACCTCCATGTGGGTGGCCCACCAGAGCCACCACAGCAACCACAGCTGCTGCAAAAGCTGCTAGATGCCACATCCATCATGCAGACAGTCCACCAGCCACTGGAGTGCATTGACACAAGAAGAGTCACCAACAGAGACCAGAGAAAAGAAGAGGATGTTTCTCTCCACAAAGCCCATCCCAGACAGACAGAAGAAGCATCTGCTCTAAGATAATATTGGGGGACAGGAACACACCTCTCTCAGCATTGGACAGATCATCTAGGCAACAAATCAACAGAGTAACCATTACTCTTTCAGAAGGAGAGAAGAAATCTAGGGTTATCAGAGGTGGGAGAGGGGATGGAGAGGCTGATGGGGAGAGATTGGACAAGGGCCCCACTCTTGGGACTGGTTGCAAGTGTTGCAGGGTCATGGCTGAGGCCCCCAGCCCCTCCTCCCCCCCCCGTTTCTGGCTCAGTAGCCCACGGGATTTCCAGTCCTTCTAGGTGTTATAGTTGTTCTTTGATGAAATGTGACCTTTACTAGTTAATATCTAACTTTGTCTCTGGTTGTGGATACTTTGTTTTTTCTTTCAGTTCTGTGTTGGATTATTTGCTGTTCCCACCACTTAAACTCTGTGCTGGAACTAATTTGTTGTCCTTTGCTTACTTCTAAAATGGGGGAGCTTCCTGTGGGGACCAGTACTTGAGCTCTGCAGTTGAGCTAAATTGCTGCTTTGCTGCTGATTCCCTGGAGAAGGCTTTTTGTGCAGCTCAGGTTTTAATGGTTAACTTTATACGTATTTCCAGGTCTAGTGAGACCCGGCGGCACCTGGGTTGTGTAGAAACTCTGGTCTGAGCCTGAGTTTTCTCATCAAACTGCACCCCGTGCAATTCTATATTCCTGTCTAGTTTCCTCTAAGTGGTTCTATGCTGATGGGGGGGCAGATCAGCTGTCCTTGCTGTGCCCCAGTGTTCCCATGGTGGGCCCGTCTTCCCCAACACCAGTGCTCCAAACACTTGCCATGGGACGAGCCATACACCAGTCCCTTGAAGTGACTCACTGGCCTCTGAGTGGCTCCTTTTTTTCAGTTGTTCTGGCTTCTCACTGCTATGTGGCTCCATGGGAACACTATTAGTAGTCCTGCTGGCCTGGGTGACAGTAAGGCCCTCTTCTCCCCTGCTGCCTCCAAGCACCTTCATCCAAAGGGCACAGCTGTGGCTTTTGTCAGCTCCTGCTCTATATGCTCACTAGCTCGCCTGGAAGCAGCCAGGATTCAAAACGGTTGGAGCGGTTTTTTCTTTCTCTCATCATGGCTTCCCCAGCCTTCATGCACTCCATAAGTCTCTCCTCCTCTTCCCCTGAGCTCTAGCAGCCCCATCTTGGCTGTCGTCACTTTTTTATAGTTGTAAATTGGCTGATTTGTGGGAGAGAGTGATGCTGGGGACCATCTATTCTGCCATCTTGACTGGAAGTCCCCTATTTCTTATGACTGTAGTATCTGCCAATTCTCCCTCATGTTTTTTTTTCCAAATGTGATCTATCATTTTTTTTATACTGACTTCATACTCAGATGGTATATCTAGTGCCCTGGGTTGTGAAAGTGTTGCTAGATCAGTTTTCAGGGTTGGTACTTTCTACTAAAGCCTCCAGGTAATAAAATAATCCTGGAGAAGTTTTTCATGTTAACTTAGCACCTTTTGGTTACCTCCCTTTCATACTCTCATGTGGGTAATGCAGGCCATTTGATTTCTCACAGGTGACTGTTTCTTTCCCACCCCAAGTTCCAGAGAGATGGTAAGATTTCTCATTTCTCTGGGCTTGTGGGCAAAAATGTTTTATTCTATAAGAACAGGGAGCTCCTCGAGACTCTATTCTTTATCTGAGGACCTCAGTTATAGCCTCTCTACCTCACATATGCCTGCAGCCACATCTGTTGTCCCTGAATGGATATTAAAATCCAGCATTGGGCCACTAAACTCTATTGCAATTTGAAAGCCTCACTGGCAGCTGTCACATCAGCTTCTCCTTTTCTGGCTTTTCTTTCTTCATTTCTTCTTCTTTTTAAATATCAGCTTTATCGAGATAGAATTCACATACCATACAATTCACCTATTTAAAACTTACAATTCAAAAATATGTTCATAGAGCTGTGCAACCATATCTACAATCAATTTTAGAACAATATGTTCCTTACCCAGTGAAGGGTATTCACTAGCAGTCACTATCCATTTCCTACTGGCCAGTCCCCCCAGCCTTAGGCAACCACAAATCTATTTTCTGTCTCTATGGATTTGCCCTATTCTGGACATTTCACATAAACAGAATCAATAATATGTGGTCCTTTGTGTATGGCTTCTTTCACTTAGCATGATATTTTCAAAGTTCATCCATGTTGTAACATGTATCAGTGCTTCATTTCTTTTTATTGCTGAAAAAGCATAGATAAGCCACGTTTTATTTATCTGTTCAGCAGTTGGTGAACATTTGAATTGTTTCCACTTTTTAGCTATTATAAATAATGCTGCCATAAACAATTACACACAAGATTTTGTGTGAGCATGTTTTCATTTCTCTTGGGTAGAAAGTGGAATTGCTAGGTCCTATGACAACCTTAGTCTTATTCTATTTCTGATACCTGTGATATTCTCTTCCTTTCAAGTTTGGATGAAAATAAACAATGATTTATTTATTATGTTTTACTCAGAATTTGTAGGTTGAGGGGATGTACAGGAGAGTATATCTAACTCAGTCCATCTTGTTCATGTATTTCACTGGCTTTTCTACTGCTTTAATTTTATACATTTAAAAAATATTTCTCTTTTACAAGAGATTCATTAAGTTTTCTACTCCAAACAGCAGAGGAAATACAGAATTACCTGAAATTACTTATTCTCAACATTGCCTTGAATATCTATCCAAAGGAGATAATAATAAAACATCTGACAGAAACTCATTCCTTAATTCTATCTGATCTTTATTAAAAATGCTCTCACATTTTCAATGTAGGCTGTGTGACTTAATCAGTAATAAACTAAATTTTGCTAGCTTTCAGTATTTCCATATGCATTTGGGTGTTTCCAAACTTTGATAAGTAGTGTTTATTTCTTAGATCAATTCCCATTACTTGATTTATTTTTATTTGCTTTTTTTAAATAAAGGAAATTGGAAGTTGACTTGAGAACATATCTAGTAGTCTATAGAATGCTTTGGATGTGATTATTTCATTCTAATATATCCAAAGTATTATTTCTCTTAGGCTCCAAAACTGTTTACACTTCTTAGCACTGTCTGTACACTTCTATGATCTCACCTCTATAATCAAGTCCCAACTAAGACAAAATATTTGTATAGGTAATAAAGCTATTTCTCTGTCTATATTTTCTTCAGCTCATAACTCTGAATAATAAGCAATTGAAATATTTTTTCTAATTTTTATATGAAAGTCTAATATTCTTCTACTTAAAAGAATAAGGGAATCAATTTTATTTCTCAGTTTTTAGTTATTCAAAGAGTTACTTTAAAGATAACTGGACAGGAGTCTTATTGGAATCACCACAGGGGGAGAACAAATTCAATTTGCAACACAAACAGCTTAATTTAAACATAATAAAATTTATACACTAAACTGAAGAGTTACAGACAGCAATACAGACTCCTAAGCTGAAAATAGATTATTTTTAAATTCCTCTTATCAAGGAATGAATAGATAATAAGCATAACCACCATAAAAATAATTACTAGATCATATAAAAAGAGTATAAAGAAAATCTCTGAGCCTAATGAAGATTGTTTTTAATCTTTTATTATTCTTTTAAAGTAGTTTCATGCAAATGTGATTCTGTAAGAAAATTCTATAAGCCAATGTTTTGTTTTTTTTTTCCTTTTTGTCTTTTTTCGTGTCCGGCAACGGATCGCAACCCTCAGTGTCACACCCGTACCGGACCGGGACCGGCAACGGGATTGCAACCCTCGGTGTTGCGTCTGCACCTCGCTCAGCCAGTGAGCGGGAACCGGTCTGTATGTGGGATCCGAACCCTCGGCGGGAGCGCCACTGCACTCCCAAGCGGCACACTGTAGCAGTGCGCCACCAGGCCAGCCCTATAAGCCAATGTTTTATAATCATTTCCCAACTGGCATGAAAACTATTAGTGTAGTGTAAAAAGATGTTACTTTTATTAAATTTAGACAACAGGGCAGTATTAACAAGCATGAAAAGCTCCAACGTAAATTTGGGAGGAGATAAGTATAATGCTTAAGAGCCCTTGCTCAGAAGACAGGAACCAGCACTGAAATCCCAACCCCACTATTTACTACTGTGTGACTTCAGCAAGTGACTTAAACAGCTTTCTCATCTGTAAAATACCACTTAAAATTATTGTTATGCCTAAATAAGAAAATATATTGTACTAATAAGCTCTAATAGCTGAGGGCAAGGCTGAAATAGCTATGTATCAGATAAGTACTTTTTACAGACATATCAATTAAACTTGTTATTATTTTGGCAATGAGCCAGAGTCTTGAATTCAGTGAGAAAGAAGAATATCAATACCTGGAAAGGCAGGCTTTAGTAACAGCGCTGTGAAGATTTTCATTAGGATATTGTGATAGCCGACGAGAAATCCGCAACAGTTGTCTGGTAGAAAGTGATGCTGCCAATGATTGTGCCTATCAAAAGGCAAAAAGAGCCTGTTAAGAGTCTTGTTTCAACTTGCTAAAGTCCCTTTAGATGGGTATCATAGCAGAATTCATTATTCCTTAAAGACAAGGCCAAACTTGAACATGTGCCGTTAATGAATTACAAATAAAAATAAATAAAAACCAATTTACATAAAACATCCTTGACAGTTTTTAAAAAATCTATAAAAAGTGTTTAAAGTATTTTAATTGTGCTAAGTGCTGTTTATGCACTTTGGAGGGGTGGAGGTTGCATGGAGAAAGGATGATATATAATATAGGTTGCACCTGACTTACAAATAGCCCTTATGTATAAATTTACTACTCATTTTTTCCTACTTATATAGAGCTGATCTATTAAGATATACTGAAAATGTTTAAGCACACCTGTGGTTTCTGAAATAGAGAAAAGGAGTTGTGGACAATTTAGGTTGCTGACTAGGTGTCAACTAGTTTGGCTCCTGGGTAGCAGCTTGCCATTTAGAATCCTTTCCTTATACTGTCAGAATAATTTCACTTTGTTTTCTTACATTTCCTCAGAGTCCACTAGTAGAGTTGCTGATATTGTACTCAATACACAGTACTCAACAAATATTTGTCGAATTCAACTTGAAATTCTTTTAGTAGGCAGTATAAGGTAATGCTTAAAGAGTTAACAAACTTTGGAATCAGACAATTCAAGCTCCCGTATATTAGCTGTGTGACCTTGGCAAATTGCTTAATCTCTCCAAGCCTCAGTTTCCTCATCTTTAAAATGGCAATAATAATGCCCTTACCTTTAAGGTTGTTACAGGTAAAGGGCATACAGAAAAATCATGATTTGCAAGAATGAATATGCTAATAATAAATAATAAAAATAAATAAATAAAATTATCCTAAAGCACTTAGCACAGGTCAGACACATATGCATGCTCAACAAATGGCAGTTATTAAAACTTTCATTCAGCCTCTTTGAAATGGAAAAAAAAAAAGGGATGAAACCTATACATTAGAATGAATTTAATGAACCAGATTATTACTGGCCTAATTCCAAACTTAGATCAGCAACATTAAGAAACTGGTTTTCACTGACAACCAGAGGAGAGAAGCCCTTCTGAAGCAACTGATTCTTTGGGAGGACAGAGCAGGCCAGGGTGAAATGTCACAGAGGGTGATGCAGGCAGTAAAGTGGCCCTGATCACCTGAGGGAGTAGAGAAGGGGACTCTATGAAATTAACAACAGGTTCAGAATGGAAGAGAGGAGGATGCCAAAGACATGCTATATATTTGCTTGTTTCAAAATTTCACTTAACATCACCACTTTATGTCTCAAAAAAGAAAAAAATGAATTGATTTCTCCTTCCTCATGTATTTCATAGCTCAATAAGATGCTGGTCTGTGTTATAAGTATTTCAACTACAACATGGGTTAAACAGTACTTTGGGGACTAGGTTGGGAATTTGACCACCAATTATGATGGATCTCTTTTGTAATTAAAAAACACATTCTAAATTTGAAAGAACTCATTTACAGACAAACATCTGGTCCATCCATGTTTTCAATAAATTCACATTCTAGACATGAAGATAATGTTTAAATATAAGAAACTATAAATTATAATTCATAATAGCATATAATTTAATGCTAAAATAAGTGAAGCAGTTGACAACCACTACAGGAGCTTAAAATGTTCAAGTGGGCAGGATAAATGCTATGAACAAAGGCATGACAGCAAAAGGAACAGAAGTACATGTAGAACATGAGGAAACCAGCTCAGTTTTACTGGAGGGTCCTGCTGGAAGGCTTGCTCTCAAATAACAAAGATCTGTAAGTGACACTTAGGAGTTTGGCCTTATTTCTAAAGGCAACAGGACTTCGTCATGTGCAAAGTAGTAACAGGATTTTAGAAAGATTAATCTGGCAATAGTATGAAAAGTACTTGAAGGACAGAGAGAACTGAGACAGGAAACAGAAAGCTATTTCATTAATCTGTTTATGAAAAGATAAAGTCCTAGGTAGGTTATGGCAAGAGTTGTGAGAAAGGATGCCACAAATATTTCAAAGGATTTGGCAACTGACTGAATATGGCAACTGACTGAAGAAGGAAGGATTGAGGATAAGTTTCAGCCAGTATAATTCAAAGTATCTGAAGTTAAATATAACTCAGAAACTACCACCTTTAATATCTAGGACCATGAAAAATTCCTATTTAAATGTTTGAAAAATGACTCCAACCAGAGGATTCTCATGACTTAAGTCCTATTAAGCCATAAGGTAACTTTCTAGGGTACAATATTCTAATCTGATTCGAGGCAAGACACTAAATTCAGGCTTCACATTTCATTCCAATGACCAGTAAGAATTTCTCATAAATTTAAAGAATACCAACTCTTTGGGTTGATAGCACCAAAATGCTTTGTAATAATGCCCAGTGTTAAAATCAGAACTAAGCTTTAAGTTGAGCCATTTAAATGTGGAATAAAGTAATTTCAGCTCTCACAGTATTATCAATTAAGAATTGAGAGCATAATTTAAAAATTCCTAATGTATTTAACATTCATAATATCAAATTTCTACCTCGTTTTATCTTGCAAAAAAAAAAAGGGTGAGGATGTGAAGCACATTCCCTTAGATGCCATGGTCATGTGGTTTAAGAGTACCCCATAAATAATTTTTCATATTAACATGATTATTAGTACCTCAGCTTAAAAATATAAAGGTTCTCATTAGAAATTATTAAAAATAATTTTTCTGTTCTTTCTCAAAGAATTATTTCCTTTATCAAAATGTAATATGTTCCCAGTGAGAAAAAAACTATAGGAACTATCTATTTATAAATTAGTAATTAATTAATCAACTTATTAATTCATTCTTCAAAGATTTAAGTGTCTACCATGTGCCAGGCACCAAGCTGGGAAATGAGAATAAAAGAATGAACAAAACCCAGCCTCAAGGAGTTTAAATACTAATTGGGGAGGTAAAAATAAACTTTTATACAGCTGTAATAGGAGTATACGCCAGTTTCATGAAAGCTGATTGAAGACAGAAGTTACTTCTGCCTAAGGGGGCTGAGAGAGACCAGACAGAATAGGAAACCTAAGGGACAAGTGGAAGGGGAGAAAGCACATTCCAGGCATCTAAGACAGAGGCATTTGAGTACATGCTAGGGTTAGAGAGGATATGGGAAATGAGGCTGGAAAAGCAGCTTAGGAATAGAGAGAACTCAGCAGGCATGTTTAACACGTTGTCTTCAATCTATGGGCAAAGAAAATCAATCCCTTAGTTTTAAAGATTACTCCAGGAACAATATGGAAGATTCATTCATCCACATATTTGACAGATATTTGTTGAACACCTACTATGTAGCAGGCAAAATTCCAGATGCTGGGAATACCACAGGGAACAAAACAAACAAAAATCCTGCCATACTGGACTAAAATCCAAATAAGGGAAGATAGACAATAAAAATAAATAAATAAATGAGTAAAACATATATTATGTTAAAGAAGAATAGCCCTATGAAGAACTTTAAAGCAGCGACAGGAATAGGTATAAAATGGGGATAAAATTTGATTTTAAATATAGTGCTTTAGGAAGGTCTTGCTGAAAAGGTGACATGTGATGAAATCTGAAAAGGGAAGGGAGTAAACATGCAGCTATCTGGGGAAAAGCCACCTAGACAGAGGAAACAGCAAATGGCAAAGCCCTGAGGCAGGCACTAGTGTGCTCAATGAACAAGAAGGAGAATGGTGTAGCTTTAAAGAATGAGTAAGAGGGAATGAATGTGAAGGTGAGGTTCCAGAAGTAATTAACAGGGGATCTGTGACAGATGGGAAATCGTTCCCCCCAAAGATATCCTCATCTTAATATCTGGAACTTGTAAATGTTACTTTACATGACAAAATTGACTTAGCAGATAGGATTAAGGATTTCAAGGGCTTATTAAGGATGAGGATTATCTGGGTGGGCCCTAAATGAAATCTCATTTTATCCCTGTAAGAAGGAGACAGAGATAGATTTAACACAGATGCACAGAAGAGAAGGTGGTGTGAAGATGGAGGCAGGACTACTGTGATGAGGCCACAAGGAACGCTGGCAGTCATCAAAAACTGGAAGAGGCAAAGCACAGATTCTCCCATGGGCCCTCCGATGGAATGTGGCCCTGCTGGTACTTTGACTTCAGCTCAGTGATACTGTCTTCAGACGGTTGTTGTCCAGACAGAGAGCAAATAAATTTCTGTTGTCTTAAGCCACCAATTTATGGTAATTTGTTACAACAGCCACAGGAAATTACAAGAGGGCCATATTATGAATGAATTATTGGTGAAAAGGGCAGTCAAGAGGAAAGAACAACATTCCGGGAGAAAGATTATGAGACACAATGAGAAGACAATTACAGACAATAGGTAAGATAACGGACAAGACATCAAGAAACTAAACTGGTGATATTTGCTTTCAAGTTAAGTGAATACAGCAGGAAAGCAAGGAACCAAAAATGATGTTTAGGTTTCTAATTTAGGAAATTTGGTACATAGATTATTAAGTCAGGATATTAGATCAGAAATATGAATAGATTTAAGGAGGAAAGATAGTTTAGTTGTATAAGATATGTTGAATTTACAGTGATCTCCGAGCATCCTGTTGAAAAGTGAAAAAAAAAATGAACATTTATTAAACAGCTACTAAGAAGGAAATGCCTTACACACATTTTCATGTTTAATCATTGCGACCTTCTTATGAGGTAGATGGCACTGTACCTACTTTACAGATGAGAACACCGAGATTCACAAGGTTAGACAGGGACAGCCCTTTATATTTCCAACATGCCATTCTGGAATGGGAATACTGTTAGAGAATCAATCAGAAAAAAGAAGTTAGAAGCTGAAGATAAAGACATAGGCATTAACTCAGAGGTGATACTTAAAGCCATAAGAGTAGATGACACAACTCAGCATGGAGATACAAGGACAAAGCAGAACCTCCACAAACACCAAGTACTCTTCTAGAGCTAAAAGTTGTTTTCTATGACATGGCCATGAGGAGCTGGAAGAAATGTTAAAATCACTGAAATCACAGTAAAACATATACACAGGACAAAGCATATGTATAAAGGATAAAAAAGCCCAGCTTAAAAAATAGATTTTAAAGTACTGAACTCTAAGAAAATAAAGCATCAGCATGTCAACAATAAAAGTACTATGGGAAAGAGCCCAGACTTACTGTTGGATCCTGTGTATCTCTGAGTTTGTGTGTAAATGATAACAATTTGTCCAAAGCTTCCTGAGGTATATTTGGGACCTATTTTATGAGAAAAGTGAGAGAAAAAAAAAAAGAAAGAAATTGGGGTATCTGATCCATCAACTACAAATTATAACTACTTAGCAAATAATATAGAATTACATTTTTAGAAAGTCCCTGATTATCAGTTACATGTTTAACTCATGGATAAAGTGGCTTATCCAGCTTCGCAGGAAATACTAAGCCCCTGCTTTCTCTTTAAGACAAATAAAACCAAGCCACTCTTCTCCATATACAATTCTATCACCAGAATAAAACTGAAAGAAGCTTCTAACTCAATTAAAAATTGGTATATACGGGGCCGGCCCGGTGGTGCACTGCTACAGTGTGCCGCTTGTGAGCACGGTGGCGCTCCTGCCAAGGGTTTGGATCCCACATACAGACCGGTTCCCGCTCACTGGCTGAGTGAGGTGCGGGTGCAACACCGAGGGTTGCGATCCCGTTGCCAGTTCTGGTCCTGTACGGGCGTGACACTGAGGGTTGCGATCCGTTGCCGGACACGAAAAAAGACAAAAAAAAAAAAAAAAAATTGGTATATAGTGTACCCAATTAAAAACTTTTCATTTTTTATGTATTCACTTTTCACTTTTCATGTATTATCATTTCCAATTTTGTTAGCTTTGGTGAGATTTTTTAAGCTCTAATTTAGGCATTTTCTTACTGAAACCAAATTCTTTGACTTAGCAATTCTCATATTTGTCTACCAAGTGTCCTAAGGTACCTTTGTGTAAAGAATGGATGCTCAATGTGTCCATTTGTTCAAAAACTTTTAAAAACACATATTTGAGGGGCATAATCAACATATCAATTAACTCTGAAGAGCAGTTGCTGAAATAACAAACATTGATTACTTGTAACTACAAATTTTTATTTGAGCAACAATAAATTTAGATTTTTAATTTAAAAAGATCAGAAAGAGATAGTAGAGCAATGGTTGGTATAATGTGACAATTTCAAAAGCATATTGGCTCAGGATTTCTTTGGTCATGTAAGTAATTAGAATGTTTTAAAAATTTTATGTTCTATTCTGTGCATACTTTATCTCATTTATTCTTTAAGTCAATCCTGTGATGTAAAAAGTAATAATATCTCCATTTTCCAATGAAGAAACTATAGCTGAATAATTTACCCCAAATCTGGAAACTAATAAGCAGTGTATTTGACATTTAGAGCCAAGTCATTAATTCCAAAGCCTATGTCCTCATCCACAACCATGTTCACAACAGCCACTAGAACTAATCAGTTCATTCAGGCATTTCAAAGGGGGTGATGTGTGCATTTATGTAAAAAGTTAATAATTAGTGATCTAGACGAGCACTGTGAAACAGAACTTTCTACGATGATGAAAATGTTCTTTATCTATGCTTTCTAACAAGGTAGCCAAAAGCCAAAAGTGGCTATTGAGCACTTGAAATGTGATTGAGAAACTGACTTTGAAAATTTTAATATGGCCAGGGCTACTACATTGAATAGGGCAGTTCTAGAACTCCAAAAGAGCTAAACACAATGCTTGGTTAAGGCATACATTGAAATCATGAATATCACACACACACACACACACACACACACACACTATAAACCTAATCAGGATAAGTACAGGATTTATTACAGTCCTCTGGGAACCAGTACTATTTAGTATTTTCTACAAAATCTAAGTAACTTAAATATATCTGGCCTTTCTTTATAGTAGGAACTAAAAATAGTCACCTTTGCCTGAATATAAAAGGAAAAGGAATTCCAAAACTACCTCCACATGAGGAAAGAGGAGAGAGAGCCCACATCTGTGGTTCTCAAAGTGTGTCCCCACACCAGCAGGATAGGATCAGCATTACCTGAGAACTTAGAAATGCAAATTCTCATGTACCATCTCAGAACTACTGACAAAAAACTACAGAGATGGAGCTCAGAAATCTGTGTTTTACCAACCCCTCCAATGATTCTGAAAAATGTTAAAGTTTGAAAACCATTGGCCTACATCATTATATGAGGAAATTTGGTAGAAAATTGGGAGAATAAGCCAAAAATGTCCAACGCTGCTCTAGCATGTATCAGAGTGCCTTAGAAAGAGAATAGCTGTAGGTACTAGGATGGAGTTGGCCTCACTCTTACCATTTCCTTAATCACTTGGATTTCTTCACTTTTGACAAGCGGTTTCATGTAATGGAAAAAGAACATGGTTAAGAATTCTGGTCCCAGCCACTGCTGTGTTGTGCTTCCAATGGCAGGGGGTTCTGCCAAGGCGATGATTCTGAAGGAGGGGTGGATAGGAAAAATGGATCTAAAAGGGGGAAAAAATCAGAAAACATAACCTTCACATTAGAAATCAGTTCATAGTAGCTGAAGCCTAGGCAATGATAAGCCTAACATGCTGTTAATAATGTCAAAGCTATTATCCAAAGAATAAGCTTTAAAAGAAGCCAGGACATTCCAAGAACTAAGATTAAAACAAACAAAATAATCACCTACTACTAATATATGTTATACCAAATCCACTTATGAAACTCAAGCCCTGGCACAAACCACTGCTTTTGTTATGTTGTTATGCCTACAATAAATTTTCTCTAGTGCCTTAAAATAAAATCTCATCTAGTTCATATTCATTGCACAGGTCCTCTTTATTTATTTAAAATCCCCTCAAAATCTTCTGTCTTGCAAGGAACGCATTCTATGCCAATCATAGAAAGACCAAGAAGCATGATTCAGAGTAAGGAGACTTTTTAAAAAATTTTTTTAATTATTAGCATATTCATTCTTACCAATTGTGATATTTCTTTATGCCCTTTGCCCGACCTATCACTTTCCAACCCCACTCTCTCCCTCCCCCTATCTCTAGTATCCTAGGTTTGTTCTCTCCTTCTGAAAGTTCAGCATATTGTTGTGGTTTTTCCTTTCTTTCTTTCCTTCATTCCTTCCTTCTTCTCTCCTCACCCCCCCACCTTCTAAGTAGCCAGTTATGAGTGAGAACATGTGGTATTTGTTTCTTTGTCTGGCCTACTTCACTTAACATAATTTTCTCCAGTCTCCTCCATGTTGCTGCAAAAGGCAGAATTTCATTCTTTTTTTTATGGCTGAGTAGTATTCCTTTGTGTATATATATATATACCACATTTTCTTTATCTAGTTGTCCATTGATGATATAATCTCACCCCAGTTACACTGGCCGTTATTACAAAGACTCAGAGTAACAAATGCTGGTGAGGATGTGGGGAAAGGAGAACTCTTCTACAGTGTTGGTGGGTCACTATGGTTAGCACAGTCACTATGGAAAATAGTATGGAAGTTTCTCAAACAACTACAGACAGAGCTACCACATGATCCAGCCATCCTACTGGGTATATATATCCAAAGGAACAGAAATCACCATGCTGAAGAGATACCAGCACTCTCATATTCATTGCAGCTCTATTTACAATAGCCAAAATATGAAACTAACAGAAGTTCCATCACAGGAGACTTTTTAAAATACAGAAAATTCAAGCAGCATAAGGAGTTAGATTAAATTTAGATCAGCAAAAGAACACTTAGGTCTTAAAAAGGTAGAGAAAATTGAACCTTTATCTAATTCACTCTTTTGTCATTTTTTATAGGAAATGTTATGATTTTTAAAATGATCACTTTTAGAAATCTCTGCTAGGGAATCTGAGGAAGCATGTCAATACTTTAGGACACAAAGGAATAAGATAAGAATTCCCATAGTTTGTAAAATGACTTGCCATTTTTTTTTTCAGAGAAGGTACTAGAAACCCCTTATCATGATCTAATCACGTTGGTAATATTGTCAGTTTTTATCAATTCTACAATAAAACCTACCAGAAATATACTTTTAGAAGGTAATATAGTTCTCGCTAAGAGAAAGTTAAGATGAAACTCAAACCCTTGCCAATATCATCAGAAAAACAAAAAAACATGTACATACCTGGAATTTAGCCATTAACTATTATAATAAAACTCAACAGTTAAGTGATTGGGCAGCTAGAATACCAGGAGGTAGGACGTGTAGAGAAAATTAGATGAGTACTCTGAAGAGTTCAGATAAGAGAAAGTCCCATCAACACAATGGTCCACTGAGTCCCTGACTGCATGATCTGTAATTTTAGAGGCCACATCATACTTTGTAAACCAGGGAAAAGCAATTTTTAGAAATGGCCATATGAAAGGCCTGGGTGAATTCATAAAAGCTACCAGACATCATTCCATTTTAGAAAAGAGACTTATTTACAGATGTTCCAGCAGGGCCTGGGAGTGATCTGTCCAAACAGGTTGTTCTGGGAAAAGAGGGAAGGATAACAACATGGACAGTGCCTGAAAGTTCTGAGGATAGCATGGTCACTCAGGATTGCTAGTAATTAATCCAGAAACTGGACACAGGAAATCCTGTGATTAGAGAGCTAGAGAGGGAGGTTATTCCACTTTCCACTTTTGCTAAATGCTTTGCTATAATCCAGAAAACTCTGTCTCAAGGCCCATCAACAGATGTTGGATTCATCCTTGATCCTTCTCTCTCCTACTTGGGACAAAAGAAGGTGGGCACAAAATTAAAGCTGCAGATGTAGTTTCTCTCTTAAAAAAGTTAAGGATACTAAATCGGGGAATAAGCAAAGCAAAATCCCCACAGGCAAGCCAAAAGGGGAAGTCCAATTTACATCTTTAAACCAATAGATCAGGAAGCAGGTACCACAGCTGAGCTGTAATGTTAGGATTAGATAAGATACCAAAATGAAAGCAAGCTAGATGGTTTGAATTTAAATAAGGTGATAGCATTGCCTGGGACATACATTGTCTGTGGCTTGCTTTTTGGTATTGACTTTAGCAGGAGAACTGAATGAGCTGGCCAAATTTGAAGGGGGCAGTTGCTGAGACAGCTGATGTGTTAGGCAGAGAAGCGTATGATGACTATAAAAACAGCCACCAAAGTACTCAACAACAGGATGAAAAGGGCCTTTTCATTTGCTAGATTCTCCCTAAAGGCTTCCTTGCAGGCAAATAAGTCATATGGAAAGTCATTTCTTGATAATGCTAGGTTCCCCAAGTCTGAAAGTCAGAGAGCAGAGGATCTGCCATGTACTTTAAGGTGATTTGAAAACTCAAAGCCTGAAGAAGGGATACATAATTGAAAAGTAGAAAGCAGCGCTATTAAAATTTAAAATCAAGGTGATGCTTCATTTATTAGAATTTAACAACAGGGCTGGCCCGTGGCTCACTCGGTAGAGTGCGGTGCTGATAACACCAAGGCCACGGGTTCGGATCCCATATAGGGATGGCCGGTTTGCTCACTGGCTGAGCGTGGTGCTGACAACACCAAGCCAAGGGTTGAGATCCCCTTACCGGTCATCTTTTAAAAAAAAAAAAAGACAGTGAAGAAAGAGAGAGAAAAAAAATTGGTTAATATATGCAAATACATGCACAGCAAGGTAAGAAGAAAATATGCATAGTTGTAATGTTCTCGATATTTCTGTATCAGGTCACATAGCCATAGTCAGAATTTTTAACTTCTCCACTCTCCATTCCATGTTCCCTTTGGTTTAACAACAAAACAACATATGAAACTAAAGATATGGATTAACTTCAGATAAGTAGATGTTATTTCCTAAAAATTAAAAAAGCAAAAAAGGTCTTTTAAGAATATTTTTAAAGATTTTAAAAATAAAAATACTGGGGTCAATACGTTTGTTTTATAGGCATAAATATAAGTTTTTAGAAAATATAGTCCTTTCCAACATTTTGAAGTAATGCCCTCTTTCTAAGAGCAGGGCTGACGCCACTTAAGATAGCCCCTCTATTGTGTGAAAGTTAGGCGGGAAAGTGAGGGTGGGATGGGAGGAGCTCTGGTAACTGCAAAATTAGCTCATGTACTGTTGCTTGCTTGCATTGGCTAATACCTCTTGGCCCGGTGATCGGGTGGCCGAGTTGCCGCACTTGCAGCTTTAAAAACAGAGAACAAACACGGTTCAGGGCCGCACCTTGAATTTGCTGCTGCGGTCCCGGCTGCTGGAAATAAAAATCTTTTTCTCTTTTTCTATATCAGTCTCCAAGGGTGATTTTCTCCCAACGCCTATAACAGTTCCTCAGCAATAAAAAGGAACAAACTATCCATACAACATGGATGATCTCACAGTAATTAAGCTAAGTGAAAGAAATCAGACAAAAAAAAGAGTAAATACTTTGTGTGATTCCATTTATATAAAACTCTAGAAAATATAAGCCATATACAGTGATCAGAAGCAGATCCCTGGGAATGGGAGAGAAGTGTGAGAAGGGGCAGGAGGGAGGGATTGCAAAGGGGTCAGAGGATACTTTAAGGATTATAGAGGTATTCATTATCTTGATTGTGGTGATGGTTTCATAGTTATATATAAATACTCGAAATTATCAAGGTAAACTTTAAATATGCACAGTTTATTGCAGTTGGCCCTCCTCTGCATCCACAGGTTTCACATCTGCTGATTCAAACAACCATAGGTTGAAACCCATGGATATACATATTTTCCACCTGGGGTTGGTTGAACCTGCCGGTGCAGCACCCACGGGTGTGGAGGGTTGACTGTAATATGCCATTTTATGTAAGGAACTTGAGCATCCATGAATTTGATATCTGCAGGGTGGTCCTGGACCCAATCCACGAGGATACAGAGGGATGATTATATATGTCAATTATACCTCAACAAAGCTTTCAATAAAATAAAAAAAGAAAGACTTTGATAACAACCTCTACTCATTTGAAGGGAATCATATGGTTCACTTTTGTTGAATTTATATATTAAGGACCTGAAAAAATGATATAGGTTTCTATAAAGACATCAATCATGAGCTGAAACAGGATTTTGTAATTAGCCTTCCATACTATAATACAAGTCCTAATCTTCCAATTCAGAACCTAGAGGTTATACACTTCTGCATACTGCTCATATGTCTCTTTTTTCTATGCAGTGTAACAAACTGCATGTTCACATACCTGAAACATCTTTATACGACACAAGGTCGTATAAAGAGAGATTATAAACTGTTTTCAATATTCAATAACAAATGAAAATAAAATATTCAATAAAAGTACAAAAGCATTAGAGCATATATAAGTACAACTAAGACTAGGCCACTAATCTTTATTAATTCCCAGAGATAACCAGAAGCCCTTTCTTGTCTAAACAAATTGTTAATAACTCACAGAAACTCTTTCCCCTCTCATCAATGCTGTGGCCAACAGCAGGAAGGGACACATTTAGCAGCCTATAGTATTTGTACTACCCCTTCCCCCAAAGAAGTTTTTCTCATCAAAAGAAG